AATAATAATAATAATAATAATAATAATAATAATAATAATAATAATAAAAAAAAAAAAAATAGGGTTGTTATTGTTTTGGGGTTGTTTTGTACCTTGGGAGGGTTTTGCAACGATTTCCTCAAAAATATATAGATAACACACAAACATGTATGTAATATGTGTGTAATATGTGTATATATGTATATGTATATGTATATAATATAATGTATGTGTGTGTATGTATGTGTGTGTGTATGTATATATATATACATATATATACACACACACACATATTCTCTGCTGCTTCATTCAGATATATGTACGCACAAATATAGGAGAAATTATGTATATATAGACATATATGTATTAGCTTGCTAAGTTTATTTTATTTTTTTATGGCAATAAATGTACACTCACATTTCCCTATATCTCTTGTCATGGTTCAGGGATATAAAATAAGGCGCAGGCAATAAAAACACCTAATAATTTTGTGTCAAATTATGTGCTGATTGCATGTTGTGTGAATACTGTTTGGTAATGTTGCATTCCTATTGTGCCTTTCCTGTATATGGTGCTTCTGGTTTTGGCTTTTCCCAAAATGTTTCCCAAACAAATATGGATTGGTTTTTTTATATAGTAAGATCTTACTTCTTTAAAGGAAAAGTGTTTGGGGTAATGCATAAGAAAAACAACTTTAAAAAAAACAGGGCATGACATGGGGACAACTATAGTAGCTAATCATGTTCATTAAAATCAGAAAATGAGTGGAGGAGATGTTCTTTTGATCACCTCTAAGTGATAACCAGCTAGAATATGGGGCTTACTGTAAGTAAATATGGATGTAGGAATTGAGTCTTTGTGAATGCTAGTAATCCTTGTGCTAGTAATAAAATACAAGTAAGGCTACTAATCCTCTGCTAATAATCTTTATGCTGCAATAAAATACAAAAATAGATAATGGCTAAATAACTGTGAACACTGCAGTGCCTTCTGCACTTCCATCACAGAAAGATAAATGATATTTGTTGTGTCATAAATCCAAGTGCCAAAAACAGCAGATTCATGATTTGCAGGTTTTTGAAATCATATTGTGATTCATTTAATATCTTAAAATCAGCCTTCACCAATCTGGTGCCTTCCAGATGGACCACGGTTTTTATAATCACCTTATATCGGCTAAGATGGGGAACGCTGTATTAAAAATTATCCAAACATATCTATATTTAAAACAATGTTATAAGCACTTATAAATCCCACTGATTTCAGTTGGAGACTAAACTGACATATGTTCATATCTTAATAACTATGTTTATATTGCTGCATTTCTATTGCTTTTTTCCTATTATTTCAACTCTGCCCTGTTGACCCTAAAAATTCAAGCTTGGAAAAATTCAGAACAAATACTGTGACAAAGTTCTTTTGTTTAGATTGTGTATTCCCCTTTCAAAGCTTTGACTTCTATAGTTATTGTCTCCTATATCAATTTCTCCCTAGCAAAGTTGTGCGAAAATTTCACTGTATTTTTCTAATCTCAGCCTTCATGCTTCATTATATAGTTATTGTTAATGAAAAGGCTTTTAGACAATACTAAGATTTTGCACCTGATGAACTTTTAACAAAGGACACTAAAAGACTAATATAGTCTTCAGAATTGACTGTTCCTGTATTATCCATCACAATAATAAATTCCTTCTGATGGAAGAATAACATTGAAAAAGTAAGGAATGGCTGGATAGTAGGGTTGGTACTATCAGACTGATTGATTTGTGGGTCTTCCAAATATTGTTTTCAACACAAGTCTTGGTCAAAATTGATATGTTTGTGCAGCTGATTGGTTATGCTCCATCAATGTTTTGTGAGATCTTTGTTATATTGAAGTATACAATTAGGGGAACATTCCTTACTCCCTGCATATCATTGGCTGGGTACATGCATTGCACTAGACCACAATGATGCAAACCATATTATACTCTTACTTGTTGTCTGAACCAGGCATTGCATCATATAATATCTGAATCCAGTTGTTTGTTCAGTAAACCATAGTTTTGCAGACTGTGGGTTGATGTATAAATATACTTATTGTATTAATGCAGTACAGGCAACTTTTTCTTTTTATTCTGTCCAAATAAATACTATAATTATCGCAGAAAATCTATATGATCATGAAGAGTCAACACTATCTTGATGACACATAATAAGTTTAATAAAAACTTCTACATTGTAATTGATTGGACAAGAGAAATCCATGCATACTGTCCACATTTATGTTTCTATGTGATCATAGAAATACAAATCTTAAGACATATGCATGGATTTGTCTTATCCAATTAATAAAAGTTGCCCTGAATTTAAATGGATCTATTATTTTAAAAGTATGGAAGATGTTAAAAACTACAAATTGTTAATATCTCGAGAGACCCTTCCCACTGTTTTTCCAAAGGAAAAAAGTCAATTTGTTTTGGTTGTCCATGTATGGTACCTAACAACTTATTTAATTTGCATTTTGAAACTCTCAATCTGGTTCTAAAATTGAGCTAAGCCACAATGTCATTCATTTTCACTTAGCATGGTTGTATCATCCAAGTCCCTAATGCCTTGGGAAAATCATGATTGTTGGTATGTTGTGTGAATTACGGCAGTTCAATAAACCTTGGTAAACAAAATTGTGTCTAAGCAGGCTTCAAATTTTGGTGGATGGTGGTTACAACTGGAATTTCAAGAATATGGCAGGCATTCTTCCAAGGTAACTGCTTGTGAGTAGAGTTTTCTGCTCATAAAATGTCTGCTGTATAAATCCCTAATTTAACAAACATCTTGCTACCTCCTCACAGAAGTACCATCTATGTGGCTCCTAGTTTATGCAACATTTATGCTTTTCAAGCAAGGGGTGTGTACCTGCACCAAATCACTGGGGGTATCCTTCACAATGTTTATTTCCAAGGAGATTTCTGGGGCCCATTTGGGTTACAAAGGGCATTTTATAAATAAAAAGTCATGATGGAGGTTGACATTTTGTTTTTGGTAGGTCAGCTTTTTAAATTTGTGGTAAAGCAATTTCCCTAGGAAGGCAAATTGGTGGGTGCCAAGGAAGGGGGGGGGCTTTGAATCACTGTGTGCACCCATGTGCAAATTTATTCAAATGAATGACGTATTTGGATTGCATCCTTTGAGGGATAGAATACTGAGGAAAAGAACACCGTGTGCCCACCTTGAGCTCCTGGCAAGGGATATAAATCTGATAAACCAGATGCAATTTAATTTGTTTACCAGGTAAAGCTCAGGTAAAAGTCCTTGCAACTGCATCAACACTGTATTCCATTAGTTGGCAATAGCAGCTTCTTTGTTACAGTAATTAGAATATGGGTTATACACAGGAGGAACTTTGGTTCTAATCTGTTCAGCAATGAAATTCACTGGTGATTCTTGGACCACCTGTCTCCTAATTAAGCTTATCTTTCACTTCTCTGTGGAAAACAGGCAGGCTGGGAAAAAATGTTAAGAACCCTGGCTAGCTTGTAAACTGGCATGTAGTTGAAACTCTCCCATTAAACTCCTACAAGGGATATTAACACAACTAAGAATCTAAGCTAAGTAATGTTGAGCGGAGGGGGGAAAGGATAAGGAGGAGTACTTGACCTTAATGCTTGTTCCCAGCTCTGTAAGTAAAGTCGAAAACCTATAAACAATAAACCAAACTCTGCTAATGTCTGCCTTCACCCCCCAAACCAAACCTCTCAAAGCACATTCTTAACAATATTAACATCCTGGTCATCTACAGGTTAGCAATATTCCAATCATTTTATCTCTTGGTACATGTGGCTAACTGAATGCATTAGCTGAGATGTTTTTTATTTGTCTAGTGCAAATGAATTAAAACTGCTGAGCTGTGCAAAAGCATCAACTTACAGCAAAAGTTTTGTTTGCCTTTGTTCTTCTCTCCCTCCCTCCCTCCCTCCCTCCCTCCCTCCCTCTCTCTCTCTCTCTCACACACACACACACAGAAAGAGGTGGGGACAACTTCAAGTCTCACTTTGGCAACCTCTTTCTAATTATATCTTTGCACCATGATTTCTCTTGTAAATATGAAGAAACATGTAAGTCAGTGAGCTCAAATACTTGTGCTCTTTGTCCCAAAGCTGTTTTTCTTTTTTCCTTCCTCTGTGAGGCCAAGTGCCAATCAAAGTTGTTTTTCAAGCCATGAAATTGTAGAATTCTCTCTTCCGTTCTCCCGAAGGGTTTGGCTCTGGAAAACAGGCATGGGGGTAAGGGATCAAACTATTTTTTTAAAAAAAGCTGTACTGTAAGTGCTTTAGACTCATAAAAACTGTATCCTATGCTAACCAATGTCTATGTTTGCTACGTGTATTTACTTCTAGCTCTCCAGACACTGGTGAACTCTTGGATCATATTACACATCCTACTTGATCTTTCCCCCTCACCCCTTTGCAACTTGTGAGAAATTTCATGAACTTGAGAAGCAAAGAAATGTACAGCTGGATTCCTGTCTTGACTGAGCTCTCCCTTAACTAAAGGTCTTCTGTCTTGGATAAGCTCCACTGCACAGAAGATGGAATAGAAGTGTGAACCAGATAATCCCCGATTCAGATTTTATTTTAAAAATCAATGTGCAGATCAGGCTAGGAAACTTGAACTATTGCTGA